GTTTCTGGGCTGAAATCTTTCAGATGAAGTAGTTTCTTCAAAACACGGATAAAAGATTTGAGTCGCACTTTCACAGTGTGCATTCATCAATTTCTAAGTGTCAAGACCTGGGCACATGCTAAATTTCAAACATCATCTGAGGCTGCCATACTGACAAGCCATCAGGCATTGCACCAGCTCTCCTATCCAAGAAGCTTTCAGCAGCTACTGGAATTTTTTACCAGCATGGTACCTCATAAAGAAAAGAAATTAGAGGGGTTTAATAGCCATACTGCCAGGAAATGTTGCAGACAGAGGAAGAGAGTCAATCACTTCCTGGATGGAAAAGCAAGGCTGTGCTAATGCTGCACAAAGCCGGACAAAGCTCGGAACACTGGGACAATACACATACTCCCATTACTAATTTATTACATTTTTCTGCTACTGGTTCTTGGCTCTTTTATAACTCCATATAGTTCAGCATAACTCTCTGCAATCTGAAGACTTTTGCCACCTATTTTACTAGTTCTGAAACCTTCTGACAGCCTTTCTTCCAAGAAAAAAGTTTTTAAAAACTCTATTATCACTGTGTGTTTGCAGGTAATCCTGACAACTACGTGTTTTTAAGCAGCAGCCACTGAACATTGAGAAAATTCTTCTTAAAACTCATTCCCAGCCCTCTTCCTGCCTCCCCGGGAAAAAAAGATTTAACATCACGCTGTTTCTCCAATCCCAAATAACACTTTACACTCTTATGACCAAATCTGACAGAAACAAACTGTCTGAAAGATACTAAACACCTATTAAAATCTGGGGCTGGGCTAAGGACAAGCCTGCAGCAGTTAACTCCAGCAGTCAGAGATGCTGCTATCATGGGAATAGCATGGCAGATTACAAAACCCTACAGCAGGGAGCATCATGGACCACATAGGAAACACAAGGCTTGCCCAGTGAAAAGACAGAGGATATAGGACAAAAACATACACAAAACTACACTTGTTTAGTTCTGCTTTTCTGTGATGATTTATACAACATACACAAAATAAAACAGCTACAAGTCACTCCATATTGTTCATGGCATATTGCTGTTTCTCCCACACCAGTTTAAATCTCACAAATTCAGAATTACTTTCTTTCAAAAGAAGTTTTCTCCTGTTAGTTTTTGCTGTAGCTTGAACTTCTTAATTGGAGATCCACAAGTTAGCCTATTGTTCACCCTGTATCTCAACCATTCATACAAATCATTCATTACACAGCACTACATAATCTGCGCTTTCTTACTTATCTGCACTGCAATTAGCTAGTATATAATGAAGTATCACAATAGCAGATGAGGGTAAACAACGTGAACGAAAGAACTGAGGACAATTCAGCCTGCATGAAGATGTACTTATGCAAAATATCAAGAGCAGTAGACAGTAATTTCTGAATTCAACATCTCTTAGTTTTCCAAGAAACACCAGAAAGCTTTCAAAAATCACATATCCAGAAAAGGATGTTGTAAAATTTTCACACATATCACTTCTCACGTGTTTAATAAGGAGACAGAAACAGAATCAGATTCTAACAAGCATTACATTTCTGTTCTGGGAGCTAGTAACATGGGGTGGTTCCCAACTTACTGCAAATCTCCTTACAATCTTCTGTTTCATTTCCCTAATCAGAATTTCTAAATGTTGGAAACAACAGTTTGGCACAAAGCAGGTATGAATTACCCGAATAGATCAATATGTTAAGTTTACTAGAAGAGACAACTTATCATTCAATGTAAGCCTGATAACCATTGCAAAATGAGACTCCTGACTCCATAGTGCAGCTATATGGACAGATTAACACTCCATCAGATAAGCAGCCAGCGCACAGTGCCGCAAACAACATAAAATTCCAGATCAAGCCACGGCAGGCCACAGCGTGTAGCTGTGAATTCCCCCGGTACGCTGTAACTACACAAGTCCACCACAAGATGACGCAGAAAAAAAGCTCCTCTCTCGAAGCTGTCCTTGTTTCCATCTCATGGTGAGCTAAGCATATTTCAAACTGGCAAGTCTTAGGAAAAGCAATTTGATTTTAAAAGAACAAATAGCATAAAGCAATCGAACTGTGTGCATTTAAAATGCACGGTTCATACTTTAGTGTGTGCACTGCTGTAAAACAAATTTTGATTGTGTTAAATCTGCATCAAATTAATGCAAATTACCAAGAGTACTGTAACCAAAATTCACTATAGAGTGGAAAAGATCACAAACCCTAAGGTATTTATTGAAGAAAAGAACGAGTCTGCTTCACGGGCAGTGCAGCACCACCTGGGTGACATGCTTTTGTTAACTAAAATGTTTTTGTTGGAGCACCAAACCTGGTATTACTGTAGTGGCAGAAGAAAGAGAGTAAGATTGAAGAATCTCATTTAGATGCAAAATCTGTAAATCACTATCCAAAACACTGACTCTTGTTGCCAGTTCTCCACTGCCATCTGCGATGTAAGGGGAAGAGGGAACTACATAGAGAGTTGATAGAACAGAACAGACCATGCAGGCTTTAATTGGAAATAATCAACAAGTGATAAAGTTTTTTATGAATGAGAGACAGGGAAATCAGTGAAACACATCATCACTGTCAAACTGAAGGGCTACTAATGCCAACTTAAACACATACGCCCCTAGCTATTTTCTTTTGAGTCATGTAGGCTACAGACTGCTAAAGAACAAAAAGCCCTCAGTGCTTTATTGGCAAGATGCGTTTGATAATGTGCAGCTTCATACCAACACTAACAAATATTTGGGGCAGAGAATCTTACAGTCTTCAAGACTTCTGTCTAAATCATGTTCAGACTGTCTCAGAAGCCATCATCATAAATTTGTACACCTAAAACAAAAGATTAAACACCAAGCTCACCATCAACACACAGGATAGATTTCTGATGGTTACAGAGATTAAAAACAAACCACCTCAGGTCTGGCAAATCCCATAAGAAACACATAACAGTACAATTTACAGAGGAAAGCATTCACTGAACATGAATTAATAGACTCCCAAAGGGACCATGCTTTTCTGAAAGTGTTTTGAAGTCGTTCGTGCATAAACCACAGTAAGAACTTCAGCTTACGCACAAGAGCTCAAAGATCTCTAATACAGAGAGAAAAAAGTTAGCAACAGATTTAAAGAAGAATTAAGAATTATTGATAAAGAATATTTAGTAAAAACTTGTGTAATACTCTAGTTACTTGAACTTTGACCCAAATAGTTACTACATGTACTTTATCTCTTTTGATACAGAACTTAGCCACAATTAGCCTTTTCAACGTATGACTGGGAAGTCTTCAAAAGCATAGACAGATGTAGACACAGCACCTATGTTAAAGAAAAATTAAATGGAGAAAAGGAAAAAGAAGATGTCCAATGGTCAGGGTGTTCATCACCAGCACAAGAACAAAAACCAGTGAAGAAATTCTGAACTGGGGCCCAAACACTGTACTTGGACATCTGAAAAGGAAAGTTGTTTTGGAAAAGTCTGAGGATATCACCTGTTCCTAACTGGATAGGTGACTGCTACAGTAGAAGGCACAGAGATTACTCCAATTTACACTGAAAATAAAAAGGACATTTGAACTTTTAATACAGAAATCAAGAAACACATTGGGTTGTGTATTATTTTAGATTTTTAAATACAAATTAGGTATCTTTTAAAAATATTAGACTCCATTCATCAGTAGTCACATTCAGTTAGCAACCATGAAGTAAGTCTGCATTATGCAATAGGTACCCAAGCAGAGTGTATCCCTCTCAGGTAAAAACCTCCAACTCTGAATCGTTACAGTAGCACAGTTATACTTCACCCTGCTTGATAAATGCATGAACTGAAAGATACAATAATAAAATGCAGTTACAACCTTGAGAAAAAATTTTTAGCTTAAAATACCAATTATAAAAATAGCAATATTGAAAGAAAAAAAATAATAATAATACAGCAAAGAGCCTAGGAGAAAAGGGGGCAAAAAAGAAAAGGGTCATGTTTGTGGTGGTTTGGGTTTTTCCCCTTACATCACATGGATGAGCCCCACAGCATAAAGCAAGGAACTGAATTTTCTATAGAGCTCTAAAGTAGTGCACCTAAAACACTGCACCAAGTATAACATACCAAAAATATATACAAAACAGTTTTCAGGTATTGAGACAGCTCAAAGACAGCGATAAAAAAGATCAGAAGATGGAAAAGCAGACTGACAAAAGATGAATTAAGTTAGGATATCTTGACTAGAATGGTATGGCATGTGAAAGTTGCCTATACACCTTTGTAATGGAGAATAAAAAGTAATTATTTAGAGAAGTATTGATTTTTTTTTCTAGCTATAGAAGTATGAATGAGGAAGAAAAAGTTGTTAGACAGAAGAGTCTTTTGATAAGCGTATTTCTCTGGCTAGAATCATCTCTACAGCAAAATGACAGGCACATCAAGATTCAGATATTTAAAACTATATTAAGCAACTCATACATAAAAGGTACTACAAGTCAAACCTGCTCTGTCATCAGAGTGGATTAGATTTAAGAGATTTTCCATCTCCAACTTCTAACCCTCCCCAAAGCAGGTATTATTCTAGCAAGAGTTTTTAGAAAACAAGCACATAAAACAAACTCTGTTGTATTTCTGGTGAAATAAAGTAAAATGAAAAGTAATTAGAATGATGAAGTCATTAATTCAAAACAGCCACATAAATAAAAGCAAAGCAAGTCTAAAAAAACCTGTCTAAAATAGCTGATGAGACTTTTCCAGAGGATGGATGAACCAGTCTTAAGTCAAAATGAAATGTGGAAATAGTTGCAAACTGTCCATGGACAGTAAGTACATTCTAAGTAACATCATGAAACTGGTACAAAAATTACCTTCAAGATAAATTAACTCTACACTCATAAACAGCACTCCAAGCTCTTGACAGCTATACAGAAAGCTGCAAAGCTTGATGCCAAAGAAATGGATTTACGTTATTTTAAAAAGCACGTTGATGAGTAATCTGTTCTTTTCTTACCATCGTACTTTATTGCATGTCTGTGTAGCGCCAAGAGGAGAACCTGCCACCATGGGGACTTGGATGGGGCTGTGTTGTTTGTTCATGACAAGATCCAACTTCTCTTCCAATGATTTACAGGTAGCCTCTAGTGCCAGCAACTTTGCCTCAATGCTATCCAACCGCAGGCATATTGTCTGATTAATGGAATACAGGAACGACTAGAAAGGGAGAATGAAAAAGAAACTGATTTTAAAGACTTATGTATTTATCTTCAGCAACATACACATAAGGAAGCTGCAGATAAATGTGATTGGAAAACAATTCTAAAGGAACTAGGAGCGTGCTTAGTAACAACATTCATCCACATACAAAACTGATGACATCCAGGAGCATTTTAGCATTCTCAAGCTCTTCCAGATCTTTACTTATAAGCCAAAAGCATCCAAGCCAAACATATTTTCACCTAAGCACTTTGTTGGTATGATTTCATACACATGTCAAAGCCTTTCCATACAACTAAAAACAAAAGGATTATAAAAACTATGAATGCATCCTCCTGGATAAAGTTAAGATTTTTTTCCTGCCCAAACACATAAATTCACATGATTACAGTGGAAATTATATCAACACGAATAACCTCAGAGACAATTAATGCCACTCACTTAAGTTTTCTCCTGAACAGCAAACCAAGAAAAGCAAAAAAATAAGACCTGTTTTCCTAAGCAATTTTACTGAAAAGAAAGCCTATTCTACTTGGTTCCTCTTGGGAAAAACAGGCCATTAAAGGGTAACGTTACACATGTTCGCCTTCCCAAACAGCAACTATGCCATCTCGTGGCCCTCTGCTACAACTGACACAGCTCATCGCGCTGGTTTACAGAGCTGCTCCCTGGTGCTCTTTTAATACGGGGCTTCAGCTTTTTTGACCATTTCAGAACTACAGAACTACACACCGCTTAACATGTGTGGCTGTAAAACAGTACTCATATGCTCCAAGGAACAACAAAACCCCCACAAAACTAAAACACTATAGAGAGAAACACGGAGGAAGTTCTGCAAGTACAGAAAAGCCTGAGGTACGGAGCCTGAACGAAATGTGGTTTAACTATTATTAGGAGAATGTTGTTAGCTAAAAATAATGATTTTAAACATGCTCAAAAGTATCTACAAATTGTAATACAAATACATGCTCAAGTTTATCTTTTACGGCAACTTTATTCACATTTTCAAAAAATGTACCAATAGCGACATTTGAGTCACTGGAATTAATCCTGATGACATTTCATACTGCATGTAAAATTCTTGCTATGGATTTGACACTGGAGAACTAGGCAATCATCCAGATTCTTAAATTTATGCACAAAGATGAACAAATATATACAAGGCGGCTATGAGTAAATCCAGCATTATGTAATAACATAATAAACAGTTTGGTTTACATTCTTTTCTTTTAATGTATTTCCCTAAGTAAACCAACTTAATTCCATTACAAATAAAAATAGGAAAAGGCATTATCAAAACCTTAATAGAGGGATCCTGGCAGTTAATTTCTATACGTTGGCGTTTCAGCGCAGGTTCTACATCATCATCTGTCACTTCATGATTCTCCAACACAACTGCAAAGAAAAATAAGCACTGCCATAGTTTATAATACAAAAGGACAAGGCTCAAATTAAAAGTACATTAATAAATTATGTAAGAAGTGTTTAATTAACATAAAAGGTGTTTAATATATTGTATGTATTTTTACACTTACTTGGGTTTTCTCTTAAATATATGACAATGCTTTACTGTTTCTCAAAAAACATTTGTCCAAATCCAATACTTTATTTCAAGCACACTGAGGATGTAACACTGAAGCATTACTTTGGATTTTATTAGGAACTTACCAGAAGGTAGCAGAGTTGCCACATTTGCTGTTCTGCTTTGACAGATTCTACAGGCTTCTGAGCCCCATGTTTATACAAAACCAGAAAAAGTACTAATGAAGTTCTCTACAAAGACAGAACTACAGCCACTACTCAGCATAGTAGTGGATTAGTTTTCCCAGTATAGATGAACAAAATCCTGCCAGCTTTCCAAAAATAACCACCTGCATGTGCAGACGCATAGGTTCTAATTGCCCTTCATCTAAAGGCAAACTTTTTGAAGAAAAAAGTAATAATGGAAAACTGAATTTAGAACCTGGCAAAATCAAGAGATAAAGCCCTGGAAGAGCCACACAGTCAGAGCATCACTTGAGATCAGACTAGGTTTGAGCTCCTTTAGCAACTGAGCAAAGGAAAAACTGTTTAAGATTGACCATACCATACCCTTAACACCAAGTTACCACCTAGACCACAACAGGCAGGTCCCAGCTCCTCTTCCAAGACTTTGCAAACATTTTTGAATTGCATCAGAATACAAGTTTTTTTGTATGTTTCTGTTTGCTGTAACTGTAGTTACAGTTCTTTCACTCACCTCCTCACATGTAATTGCAGCACAAGATCAGTGTCTGTGACCGATCTCAGTATTTTGGCTTAGTAGGTCAAGTTCTAAGCAAGGACTATCATAGTATTTGCTTCCAGGAGTGTTTTTCAATTTGAACAATGTATGAGAGAAACTATTTTACAGATAAAACAAGAATTCATAATAGATGGTTCTCATTTGAGGGAAAAGATAGTTCTCATTTGAGGGAAAGCCTAAAACATACATTCGGTTTGGAGAAGAACAAGAGAGTGCAGGAGGCCATATATCATTCAGAGTTTTCAGCACTAGTCTACCCCTGCACAAAAAAGCCCCAGGCAATAAAGCCTGTAATAGAAAATAATTTTTTTAAAAATCTGATCTAAAGGGCACTGAAGATATACAACCTAGCGTGCAGTCTTAAGAATCACCTCTCAAAAGAATCTGCAGCACTGCTTTATATTATTAAGAAAAGCTCAACAGCGATTTCCACCTTGTCAATGGACAATACTGTAAATGTCTTTGTGCCGCCACTAGCACCTGCACTGTACCTGGGTTATCTGGAGTCAGGTCTTCAACAGCAATCTGAACAACATCTGCCAAATCCTGTTCTGACATCATTCAGAACCAGGCAGCAATATCCAGTCAAATACCACTGCAGGTCCCCAGACAGGTAATTTTGCAAGTCATGCAATCCTGAAAAACAGCAGCAAGAAGAGTGTTAATACAGATTACTTGATATATTAATATTGCCTTTATTTTTTTCCTTCTTGCTCTGTATAAGGAGATGCAATTCCCAACACAAGTAACGAACCTACAAGTGATCATCCAGTGGTATCAGCTTCTACTATTCTACTGGCTATCCCCATTGAAGAGGAAAGGACTGAGCTATGTGCATCACCCCTGAGTCAATCTTTCTATACTGGGCCTGAGACAAGAGCTCAAGCTTTCCTTGCTGATCCACCTTTCCCTATTTTCCCAGCAAAAAAAGTTAACATTTAGCTTCAGAGATTTGGCAGCTCATCAGGATAAAATAAAACATTTTATTTCATAAATTGATTTTTGTCTTAGACATTTCAAGAGCATACAAGACCATTCCTAAACAGCAGGGGTTTAATTTAGAAATTATTGCTTAGCTCTTGGAAGTGATCGGACTTAAGTATTTAGTCTTTAATATCACAAAAGCACATGAACCTCCCAAGCCAGGCTACATTTGCAATTACCACATTCTGTACAGACCTATATGTACACAAGATCCTCACATGTATGAATCTTAACAGGCCACTCAAATCTTCAGAAACAGTCATGAGAACAGGGAGCTAATTACAACCAGACTTGAAGCAAAACTTGACTTTTTCTTGATTACTGAACTTGCCTGGGTTCTCTACAGCCCAATGCTGATGAAACCATTTTCAGAATATGGGCCTGACTTTAAAGTCAAAATATCTCTCAGCCCTGCCTCCCTTAGAATTCCGTGTCAAGGTTATTTATTAGTGTTTTAAGAGAAACCTTTAGTCTGTAAAATTGACTTTGAAACACTGGAACCATTCATATCTGTGCATTCCCACAGTTCACAAAAAGATGGACAATGAATATCAAGAAGAGATCAGCCAATTTTTTTCCTTTTTAACCTGAAGCAAAAAAACACTAGAGGGATAATTTGAGATTTACCAGTGGAAATGGTAATTCATCCCTCAACACCAACACTGAATCAAATCCAACTATGCATAAAGATTTTCCCCTTTCCCTATTCCACTTTAGCACAAGAAAGCCATTAACCCAGACAAGTGGAGTACTAATTTTTGAAGAGAGCCACACAACCTACAGAAGAACTTTGAGACTGAGCAACCACTGCACGCTGTTGAAAGCCATCTCAAAAGGGGGACTCCCCACGAATCCCAACTGTTTACTCAAAATACCAGCACTGCCAGTACAGTCATTTGAAATTCTGATCGTGGTGAAAAACTGTTGGGACAGCACACCCTGTGGCTTCACGCCCAAAAAACCTGGCAACACATTAGTGCATATGGATGCCATTTTGGTAAATTGTATTTGCCATTTCTCAGAAATCCTGGTAACCAGCCAGGTTTAATAGAATAAAACAGCTGTGCTGCACTTATTGTTTCATAATGTCACAAGTAATATTAAGAACCGTGCTCTCAACTTGAGGGAAGACAGCCGCCACTCCAAACACTACAAAGGGACAAACTAGAACAAAACCCAACTTTAAAACTTTGTCTATTTACACAAGATTTCACTCATACTTCACGTGTTGCATTGAAACCAGTTAGTTACAAACATACCAATATTTTACAAAGCATTACAAAGGATTTGCAGTGCTTTCATTTAAACACTTTCATCCTTCACGTGATGCACATATTTAGCTTTCCAAAATTCCTTATTAAAAAAAAAAAAAAATCACTGAAATTGATTTAACCTTTCTTCAACACAAACAACACAAAGAATTTCACACTTCTGACATCAGTTCCCCACTTCTCACAGGCCACAGCCTGAAAATATTCAGCCTCATGTCAGAAGTACCATCAAAATATTCTGTCACAGAGCCTTAAAACACAGGCATAACAACCAAACTATGGCAGAACAGCTACTGCACACACACAGAAATGTGTCTTCATATCATTAGTTTTATTTCCATTTAAAGAAATTTTATTACAACTTCAGTAAGTCAGACAGAGCTCACAGGCAATTAGCCAACATCCTCATGGAACACATTTTTGTCTTCTCAACAGGCAGAAAAAAATATACTTCTGCTGCCACCAGAGGTGGCAGAGAACTCCTCTATTAGAACATAAGTGGAAACAAACAATTCCATTATTAACATTAGATGTGTGGATTAGGAAGGCAATGCCCAAGAGTAAGCTACACTGGGTACTGCAACCACAGCAGCTATCACAACCTGAATAAAATGTACCTTTCCCAAATTCAGAATTTCAATTTATAACAGAAAATTTTAGCAGTGATCTAACCCTGCTTTGAGAACCAGGAGTAAAAGCCCAATAAAACTTAACAGTTAGTTTATCAGCGTTGAAGAGCTGATAAAATTCAGATAACTTTGCCAATATCGTTTCCACACATTTTACTGAGTGAAGTATTTACCAGCATTTCCTCATGCAAAACATTTCTTCAGAGATTTGCTACATGCTCCCAGCCTTTTCTCTTTCTTTTTTTTTCCCTTATTTCTTTCTTCTGGCTGAAACCCTAGTCCCCATTAATTCCAAATTAAGTATATGTACTTTGGCATTAAGCCACCAATGCTGAAATATCACCTGGAACAAATATTAAACTATAAGGAAGAAATATTAATATAATGTCAGGAAGCCAAGGATAAACTGCAAGAGGGACACGAAACGTGCCCACTTTTCCTCCCCCAATCAGCATGTGGAAGTTGGATCAACAGAGCAATATTTTATCGTCAATTTGCCATTATCTAGGGGAGGGGTATGGGAAGACAGCTCATACCAGACAATGGAAAATAGCTCATTAATACATACACTACAGGAGGCCTTGGCCAGCCAGACTTGCACTGACTCCAGCTGAGCTATTTAGGTGGCTATTTAGATCTGCACTGCACTGATCACTTCTCCCAGAGCACTTTTTGGGGGTTGGAAGAGACTGGTTCAACTCTGTCCCAGTGCAAAAACTGAGGAATGGGTTACAGTGAGTATCTGAGGGATTTCCTCCCACCTCCATTCCCACCTCAGCCCTGGGTGACGTCAAATCTCAGTTACCTCTAACGTCAATGACCCTTCAGACCTCTCGTATCATGCAGCCAGATCCCGTATCAGCTGTTAGTGTCACCCCTTTCCTTACCCCAGGCCAGACATGACTTTTGTAAACCTTGCCTAATAAAGCCACCATAAACCCACTCTTCTTGTATAAAGCAGCACAAACTAAAAATTGACTCAGGTTTTAATCACAGTGAATAATGGAAATAATCATATGCAGCAAACATAGTTCATTAGTTCCTTCTTACCTCCCAAGGATTTTTTTTTCCAAAATTTGAGAAAACAGTCCTAAAGATTCCAAGATGGAAAAAACATCAATATGGAGTAACAGAACTAAACCTTCTAATAATAAATACAATCTATTTCTTCACCCTCCAAAACATAAAATGTTAATTTCCCCATTTATGTATTATGAGTTGAAAGTGAAGACACACACTCCTCCCTGTTCCTGGATTTTCATATTCAGAAACAAAAGACAAAGAGAGGAGCAAAAAGCCTAGAGCCTTCCTACAACCTCTTGCCAGGAGATGGCTCTAGTACTGCAACACCCAGAAAAAACACAGACAACTAAAGGTATAAATTTAAAGCAGATTAGATGAAGTGCACTAACAATCTCTGCCAATAGTCTTACTCAGAATTGATACACTTAACACTAATTAGCCTTTGTTTAATTAAGTAAATTAATATTTGTAAGCAACTAAATTCACCTGAATTCCAGATCAGCTTTTCTACACACAAGTTTAATAGAATTTAATTAATCTATTTTAAAACATTAATTCAGAATAATTCTTCTGAGCAGTCCCTTGTAAACAAACTTATTTACTGAAACAGCTGATGGCTTCAGAAACTCACAGGGAACCATTCCAAAGTGTACAATCAAAAACATCCAATGCCTTGTTAACATATAAAAACATGCACAAAACAAATCTTCTCTTTCATACTAATTAGTTAGGGTAAACACTAAATTTTAAAAGGACATTTTCCAAAGCTTTAGTCTGCTGAGTGTTTAATTGAACTTCTCTTGTTTGAGCAGCTCATCACACCCTGGCTAATATTTCTCAGTGCTATTGACAAATGAAAACACTTCTCTCATACTTCAGCTTGCACGATGACAAGCATTTACTTGTTTACTTGCTGCCTGTGTGAGAACAGCTGAAGGATGCCTTTTTAGTTTGCCCAACCCAGAATTGCCAAATGTTTTTTCCTCCTTTCTGTTCTACTTTTCTTTAAATGGATTAAGGCAAATTTTCAAATATGTCATTTCTATTACAAACATACATTCTTCTTTACACAACTACTATTAGCCAATCGGCCCATTTTTCTGAGCCTAATGTCTACCATGGATGTGACATGGTACAAAGGTCCTTATCTTGCAAAGACCTAAGATTTGGTGACACTTATAAAAGTTCTCCAGAACAGCAAACCAGCTCAAATACAGAGAGAAGCCCAGTGATAAGAATGTGTTTGATACATGCACACAAGAGGATTAATCCTCTGTGAGGACAACTCTGTGCAGAAGTAAATGACCTTATGCTTTAAAAGGATTACAGTATAAAGATCATCCACCCTCTGAAAGTGAACATCCATAGGGAACATAATACGTAATACTTGTTAACTCTGCTGCTTTATTAAGTCAGTTCAGCTGCCCTGAGTTCTTGTACCTCCAGGGAAACAGCCCAGCAGGACCACTGAGCTTTAAGTCTCTGTGCAAAGAATAATCCACTCCAAGAAAGCCTTTGTGCAGCTCTGTTAAACCCACTCTGGAAGCAAACGATGAAAAACCAGCGAAAAGGCACTCCAAGTGCAAACATTTTTGACATGATGGTGTTACAAAGGTGAACCAGCACGCACAGGTTTAAGCCTGGCTAACCCGGC